CTAACCTCGTCTTCCTTCAGAATACGACGTCATCTGCAATCGCCGTCGAGCCAAGGAGGCTTTCCGCAATTGCTTCAGCCTGAAGCAACTACTTGATTTCTTCAATCGGTTGAGTGATGGATAGACAGTAGCTCTGACTATGCCAGACCCCTGACGACCAGCGTTTCAGATAATGTCACAATGGTCCATGATCCGTCGATGACCACGTTGAGCTCGAAGCGTGCACAATGTCCCCATATCAAATTTCTGATGTCTTCGGCGTGGAAGGCTAGTGTGATGTTCATTGATAGAACGGAATGTGCTCTTCAGTTTTCAGTTGGTAGCATTCGGTTTGAGGGCAGCAAAGTATGATTAATGCCGTTTTTAACGTGAAGAAAAGTGTCTCTTTTTTAGCCACCCCTGTATATCATAACATATAGTATAGGACACTAGCACAGTATACTATACTGACGCAACAGTAGACCGAAGATACCGGCACCGAACCCTTATGGAAAGGAAACAATTTAGACATGTACACGGACAGGGTTTTCTCAAACACTACAAAAGTCGTTGTTTACGCCAAGTCACCGTCGACCTTCTCTACAGTTCTGAATGCAAGTTGAATATGCGGCGCATCCCAAAATACAACACCTCGATTCCGAACGGTTTTCCTTATCGACAAACAAATTGAAACTTGTCAGGAATCTGCTAATGATATTATTGAGAAGAAGGAGTGTGCTTTCGACAATCCTCACTTTCTAATTTCAAAGAGTCGGAATAGAAACCGTTCCATACCTCAATTTGGTCACAGGCGGTACCAATTTGGTCTTCCTTTTCTGGAGCGGCTAACTTCCCAACTCGGATTTCGGACCCCACCTAGACCAAACGAGCGTCCTACCCATCCGAGGATGGTTTGTTGGTACAAGGCTCGTCTGAGGTGATAAAAACACTGATGTCTCGGTTGGCCCTGCAAATCATCAGGTGTCCCAAATCGCCATGACAATGAATCACAAATGGAACCTAGCTAACAAATTAAATGAGTAGTCCCACGTGAACCGATCGGATCAAATTACCAAAGGCTTTGTTTATTCCTCTTTTCTAGTTATCTTTTTTGCCTATCTCACATTCTGAAGACGAACTTATCATCACAACCAGAGCAGTGAAAGCACGAAGGCTGCTATGCAACGGTTCTTCCAATTTGTTGAAAAATGTGAACTATAATAAATAAAATAAAATATAATAACAAAAATATAAACTACTACATAAGTTTTGCTCACAACTCAGCATTCTTGTGATAAACAATTAGAAAACTAGAAAAGATCTTGCATTGCATGGCTTCCATTACAAATGAAGGAGACAGGGTCTTTTAACAACCAATCGGAACTAACTCTATTTTGGATTTGCTAACGGAATGACTAATGAATGATGACAGGCGTGAAAAAAGCGTACTTATTAAACATGCAAAACAACATTGTCTGAAACTTGTGGATTTCAGAAAAAAATTAATTTTACTTTTCTAGAGTGACAAAACTACGGAAGGACTTCTTCGACATCTGGTGTTGTGCTATAAGAATGTACAATGATGAATAAATATGAGATTTGAAAGACTTCGAGATCAAATACGAATGTATGAAGGAGGGTCACTGAAAAATGATAAAATTGATAACTTCGGTTTGAATGATTTTACTGGAACGAAATCGTATA